CCACCCTTCCACCACTAGTCAAGTGAAAGGGTGTGCGAAGGCTCGAGGACAATGTCCTCGACCTAAACCCTTACTTAAATAGCACAACGAAGGTGCGATGAGATTCTCCATGACAATCCCTTAAACCTTTGAGATGAGATCCTCCCCGACACTTTACCCAGAATTCCTTTGAAGATCTACAGGAAAACTCATGAGTAAACTGGAAGCTTCATAGGCTTCACCGGCGATAAACTCATTTGTCGTTGCAACATTGCCAGAACCAACATGAAAGCCTAAAGTCCCAACACTCTGACGCCGGCGGCAAAAAATGGATCAACCACCTCCAGACACCAACATCTGCTAGAATACACCTACTCTATCCCGTTTCTTGTCCTAACCGCATTTAAATCTAAGAAAAATAAGGTTAAAACCTGCGTAAAACATAGAAGGATCAGAAACTTACATGGTCGAATAGAAGAAAATTGTTATCGATGAAGGTTGCACGATGCTCGTGCAGTGGTGTTGCGGCGGTGGATGGCGGAAACGACGATAATAGAAGAAGAAGAGAGGGAAGTGTCGCAACTGCGAAAAGGGCCGGAGGAAACAAATAGAAGAGTCACCACCGAAGGTTATTTATCCCAAAGAGAGGGAAAGGAAACGATTGAAGTAAACCTAAAAGAATGGGAAAAGACAAGGTCATCACAACCAAATCTTGACTTCGGGAGTCGATTACGCAAGGGGAAGGTATGAGCACCCCTCACGTCTGTTGTACATCAATGGGATCCACAATTGTTGTCTATCAAAAGGGTGAGTTATCTAAAAGCTAGTGCTAAATGGGGGATGAAAAAGAAAAAGGAGACTCGATAGGATATCATCGCCCTATGCCTACGTATTCCCTCGTGCAATGGGAAAGTCAGAGTAATGTAGTTCGAACTACTACAGGTGAAGAGGGAAGATTTCTCGCCAAGACACCATCTTCTCGTGCTTACGCATCCTCATCTGGTATGAGAAATCATAGCAAACATGGTTCGAGCATTAGGTTGTGGTCATTTCGATCTTTCATTTCTAAAATACCTAACACGTCTAATCAAAATACGCTAATCACATTCAAATTTTTTTCCTAACTAAATTACGAAAGAACTGAGTTCTTGGAGTCTAGCACTCCTTGGATTCTTGAGTGACTGCTCTTGGGGCGCACACCTTGGGTTGTGGGTTGCTCAATCTTTTGTTCCTAAAATACTTGCTCTAATTATTTCGACAAAGGGCGTTCATTATCCAACAAACACGATTTCGTAATTAATTGAATGAAAAATGTGTCGTTGGGATCTAGCATTCCAATAATGTCTGATTAATTGGTTGTGAGGCTGACGTCTCGTTTCCCAAATAGTCGTCATTCTCCCTTAAAATAATTAACCAATCAAACTTATTTTCTCGCTCCCGTGCGATCGAAACGGTAAAACCTATTTAAATCAAACTCTTTTCTCAATATAAATCCTAATACAATTTAATATATTCAAACAACTTTTTGCAAAGAACATTGTTTAGTCCCTTCTTCTGCACATATAAACTCGTGCTTCAGCCTCCCCTAGCGAGCAGACAAGCCAACGTTTAGCTGTTAAAATGCGACCTAACCACTCGTTCACTTCAAACATAAACCAATCAACCGTAGTCTTCCGAACTACGATTGCTCAAACTTCCTCATTACACCATGAGGGTACGTAGGCATAGGATTGCGAGATCCTAGCGAGACATTTTTTTCTTTTTACCTCAAATCTTCTACCATAGCACGAACTACGATGCTATGACTTTTCCATTGCACGAAGGAATACGTAGGCACAAGGGCCTCAATCCTTGGCGAGCACCATAATAAAAAATCACTCATCCCCTCCTTAGAAGCGAACTCTTAGAAGAAAACAAACAACATAGCTAACCTTCTCTCACGAATCGAATCAAGAGGTTCCCGTTGAGTACAACAGAAGTAGAGGGTGATAATACCTTCCCTTTTGTGTAACTGACTCCGGAACCTTAAATTTGGTTGTGATGACCATGTTCTTATCTATTTAAATGTTTTATCAATATTTTCCTATTCCTTCCTTGGAATGATTAAGGTTCGGTGGCAACTCTGTTCAAACGTTTTTCCATGTCCATCGCAAGGATCGTATTTTTCGAGGTACGACACCCTAACATAGCCATCATTACGCATTAAATGTGGCACGTGGCTCGATGCAAGCGTGACACTCCATCCCTTCAAGTCCCATCAACCGTTGGGCTCCCCGCTCGCCAGACACTCAGGACAACATTGAAGGTTCCTCGGGCACATGTATTCTTGTGCACCGTGAAACAACCCCGTCTTAGTAACAAACGTCGACCATGCTTACTCCTCCTTGGGATCACGTGTTGCCCTTAAGTCGTCACTCCTATGCTCAGGAGCAACGACTTGGGGGGCTTCTGTTCCGGACTGGCCCAATCCACTTCTGAACCCATAGCAGCCTAATAGCCTAAATCCTCCCAGTTAAGGGCAATGGAAAGCATTTTCTACTCTGCCCCTCAGCCGAGGAGGGCTGACCAGCTGACCTTTAGGATCAGCTGTCCTTCGTCACATCTATGCCCACCACGCACGATTCAACCATCCAAGAATGACCACGACGCTCTTGCCCGTGACCACGCCCCTGCTCAAAGCAATGACTAGTTTCGAGCACATCTGGCCGTCTCAACGGCTAGTTTATGGCAGTTACCTACTTTTGGAGAACCGTTATCCCGGTCTGAAAATTGTTAGAACACAGATTGATGTTTAATATATCTCTATGTTTTGATGATAACACTAATGAAATTTTGTATTAGGAAAATATATACTCTAATTTTGTTCAAGTGTTTTTGTTTCAGATATTATTTTTGATACTCTTAAGAAAGCAAAAATGCATCTGAACGCTACTCTACGCTAGGCTCTGAAGCATCATAAGCAAGTCATCAGAAGACTCTGAGCGCCGTCAGAAGACTCTGAAGCGTAGCTGAAGTATTTGTATGAAGAGTTTCAAGCATTGTTTCAGAAGACTCTGGAAGTACTTTGCGCTGCAAGTACAGAGAATCTGTTATTCAAACTCTGCTCTGATTGATATTCACGCTGAAGCACATTGGCTGCACAACTCTGATGAACTCTGATTAACATAAAGACTCTGATACCATTAAGTATGATGTTAATAACTTTGAGATAGAAGCTTGCTGAAGAAGATATTATTCAAAAATATATCTGTTGGCTTATTCCAAACGACTCTTTCCTCTTTTGTGATACACACAGGAACTCAGGCAAAAAGGATTTATCTGAACGTTCTACTTCTGGGAAAGGTCAAGTCATTAGAAGACAAAAAGGCTACAACTACTGTTCAGTGCACGGTCTTCAAGCATGGACGTCTTTGTCTATAAAAGCTAGTTTTCACTAACATTTCAAAGTGGACGAATACTAACGAATTTTTGAGAAATCAAATTGAAAACTACTCACTAGCTCTCATACAATATTATTTCATAAGCTGAATAGTTTTATTCGTTTTTAAATTAAGTGTAAAAATCACAGTTGTGATATAGCTTTTTAGAAGCATCTTAAACACTTGTTAGTTTACATTTATTTGTAAAAAGTTCCTTGAGAAGACCAGGTTGTTGGTTAGGATTTCTTGAGAAGACTAAGACAATTGTTCTTAGTGGTTGTCACTGTAATCTGTTTGAATATAGTGGATTAAGTCCTTGTGGAGAAAGGCAAATCATCTTGATAAGGTGGACTGGATTAGTTGAGATCAACGAACCAGGATAAAAATACTATGTTATTTTTATTGCCATAATTATTTCAAAACTCTTATCCAACCCCCCTTCTAAGTGTTTTTTCCACCTTCAAAAATAGGGACCAATAGTTAAGCGTTAGGGGCATTATAAAAACTCTCTCGTTTGAGAGAGTCAGATATCCAATAATCACCCATAGAAAGACTTACTTTATACTTGCATTTTCATCTCCCGATTCTTACTTTAGCATTGGAGTGTCTTGTAGGTACACCCCTCCTCCTTGATTCCAGCATCGCAAGCGAAGTCTTTGACCCACCTCAGATTCTGATCAACCGTCAAGATCACTATCTTTATCTCTTTCATCCATTTTCGTGTTAAACATTGTCGTTTATCTTGTATTCTCAACACTCTTTCACATGTTTTATTCTTCTAAATTATCTCTCATATTAGATTAATTTTAGTATATATATTCACAATGATCATTATATTATATATGTTTAAAATCATATATTGTTTAATTTATGTCAATATTTCATGATATTTTAATAGTTATAATACTACAAATAATTAGTGAAAGATATTTAAATTATGTTTAGAGCTATCTTTCATATATTTTTTAGGTTATATTTTGCATTATCTCTCATATGGTATCTAGGTTATGATTAGTAAAAAAAATATGAGAATTTATATTAGGGTTAAATATACAAATACAGCAGAAATTCGCTTTATCTCCTGTGATATATTTTTTTGAATTACTCTTTGTAATTTTTTTTTGTTTCATTTTTTTAAGCATGCAATTTAAACACTAAATTTAAAAATTAAACAAAAAAACGTTATCAAAATAACTTTGATGTTTAAAGGTCTGACGTAAAATTTTAACATTTTAAAAAAAGAATTTAAATTTTTTTTAGCAGGTAAAACAAAACTAGCTTATACGGTGTTGTATGTTTAATCTTTTATAATATGCAGTTTAAAGCCAACTCTTGAAATATGTCCGAAATTGTGAAAAATTAGTCAAATTATTTTAAAATAAATTCCCTTTACAAATATATGAATTCTTATGCAACGAAGAGAATAATTAGACAATAAATTTTATAAAATTTAAAAGTATTTAATACTTTATCAAATAATTTCATGATTAGACTTTGAGTGCATGATTATTCCTTAATCAACAACAAACCATACCGAAAAGAAAAAAGAAAATCCCATCATCAAAAGTAAAGAACACAAGTTGATTGTGTCACCAATTAGAACTATTTTAGTTGTCCACAATCAAAATCTGACTTCTTCAATAACTCATCAGCTAAGAATGTAGCCAAAATTTTATCCCTAAAGAAATTAACCAATTTTGAACCACTTTGTTGAATCGAACCCACAATATAAGATCTAGTAATGAGATCAATGCATCTCCATCTTCTCTCCTTTGCATATTTCTTCAAACATTCCCCAATTATTTTATATTCTTCTTCTCCTTCTTTTGGATTCTTGGACAAAGCCTCACCCAAGCACCTTGCTAAAACCACCCCATCCTCTAAAGTACTACACCCCCCTTGAGCAAGATCAGGTGCCATAGGGTGTAATTAGGGCTGGAAATGAGTCGAGTCGAGTCGAACTCACCTCAGCTCGGCTCGACTCGTTAAGAATTGTTCGAATTCGAGTTCGAGTTCGACACGAACTTTTTTTTAAGCTCAAACTCGACTCGTTATAAGTTCACGAACAGTTCGGTTCGACTCGTTAGGTTCATCTCATTAGGTTCAGCTCACATGGTTCACGAACTTAAAAACTATTTTTTTAAATATATATATTTTTTAGTATATTTGACATTTTAAATAAATATATATATTTTTAAATAAAATATTAAAATAAAATAAAAGTTATCATATTGAAATTTAACTTTATCTTCGAAATCTACTAATTCAAAACCTACACAACTTTCAAGAGATACATTTGAGAGTCTAATTCAAAAACTAATAAATTGAAGATTAAATTTGTCTAAGATTTGAAGTAAATATTTAAACCTAATCTTAAGGACAGTATAATTCTTTTCATATGTAATCGAGTTGACTCATGAACCTAACGAGTCGAACTATGTATAGTTCAAGTTCAGCTCATTTAGTTAACGAACTTAATTTTTCGCTCATACTCAACTCATTTGGTTCATGAACCTAGTTCAACGATTTAATTGTCGAGTCGAATTCCGAACTATCTTCGAGTTGGTTTGGTTCATTGCCAGCCCTAGGTGTAATGCATCTCCAACAACACAAACATTTCCTTTACTATTATTTTTCATTATAAGCTCCCAAGGATGTCTGTGTCTCAATGGAGCTAAATGAAAAGCATCTAACTCAGTGTTTTCTATGAAAGATCTAACATAACTTGGCATCTTTTCTAACTTGTTTAACACATATTGTTTCAGTTTAGCTGGGTCTTCTGCTAACTCTTTTTGGTCATCTAAAATGTAACCAAATATTAATTACTTCAATAATATTAACATTATTATTAATAAATTATTTTCACCGATTTTTTCTATAAGAGACAATTTATTTTTCAAAATTTATTAAAAAATTAATTTATCTGATGTATATAGATATAAAAGAAAATATTAATTATTTAATAAATTTAAAAATAAATTGTCCGTTATAAAAATTTCAAAAAAGCATCTGTAATTAAAAAAAATTTATATAGAAAATCAGAAAGAGTATTCTCACCTTTAATGGTAGGAGTCCATGTGAAAAACCAATAAACACCCTTGTCATCACATGGAATAACTCCTGCTCTAAAACCTTTGCCAAAGTATTGCATGAATAATGGTTCCAACTTGTGAGTGTTCTTTAACTCTACATAGCCTCTGGTTGCATATCTGTCTATGGGAGAAGCCTCATTGAAGCCTAGCCACTTTGTTACTATAGAGTTTATTCCATCACTCCCGATCAATACCTTTGAAATTGTAAACATTATGTATCAATCGAGGGTATACTAATTTTAACTCATAATTGAAGTTGTTTCCTTTTTACATGTAAATTTAATTCTATGTAAGGACAGAAAGTCAAAACATCACACAACTAGTACATATTCTAATATACAATATAATTTTAGACACGTTAGATTGATTTTAATTTATTTAAAATCTAAAATGAATACTTTAAAATATATATCATAGGGTCGAATCAGTTTAACTAAAAATTGAATCAACATCCGACCTAGTAACATATTTCATACAATTTCTTAACTAGGAATCAAATTCACACCGGCTAATATTAATCCACAATGAATATTTTTATATTTATATTTGATACATTTAAATTTTTAGCACTAGAGATAGTGGTTCTTTTACAAATAATTCAAAGACTCGTGCATAAAAAGCATGTATCATCTAATATGACTATGGATGTAATTGTTACGAGTATTTATTTTGTCATCCTAAAAGAAACAATCGAAAATGAATTATCAAAATCACATTTTCTTTAGACGTATGTTGCACATACAAATCATATTCCATTTCACATTTCTGAAATAACAAATGCTTGAAAAATGAATCGATTTTCAGATTTGAAGGCCTTGGAGCTTGTTTCAGCCCGTACAAGACTTTATGCAGCTTGTACACCATCCCTTCTTTGTTCTCTTTCACAAATACAAGAAGTTGTAACACATAAACTTCTTCTTGCAATAGACCATGTAGAAAAGCTTACTTTATATCTAAATGTATCAGAGGCCAATTTCTATTTGAAGGTCTAGTAATAACCAACCTTATGGTTTCGTGTCTAACTATAGGTGCAAACACTTCAAAGTAGTGTAAACTATACTTTTGTAGAAATCCTCTAGCTACTAACCTTGCTTTATGTTTGGCAAGTGAACCATATGAATTCAGTTTTGTCTTGAAAATCCATCTCACACTGATGGATTTATTTTTCTAAGGTAGAACAGTCAACTCCCATGTCTTATTTCTTTCAATGGCCTCAAGCTCTTCCTTCATGGCGTTCACTCACACCTTTTTCTTGAGAGCCTCATTGATGGTCACAGGTTCAGAGGTCACCATCATGGTACTCTGTATGACTTCTCCTCCAAAATTAATCTCCGTATCTTACAAAAATTCAAAATCTTCACGTCTCATTGGTATTTGTCTAACTCTATGTGGCCTTTGGAAACCATCAAAAGTAGAACCACCTTTAGAAGTTTCACCTTCAAAGACTGGGCCACCTTTAGAGGCTGAACCACCTTGAGAGACAGATCCATTATCAGAGTCAGACTCACCTTTAGATTCAGACTCTCTTTCAGAGTAATATTTAGATTTAGACTCTCCTTTAGAGTCAGAATCATATTCAGAGGCAGAATATCCTTCAGAGGAGAATCAAACTCTAGTGTTGTCACTGCACTAGAGTTGAATTAAGACTTTCTCCAATCTCATGTTTCTGATTCTTTCACTATGACATCTCTGCTGACTTCAACTTTGTTGTCGACTGGGCAATAGATCTTATAAGCACATGTACTATGGTAACCTATAAGCAACATGACTTTGCTTTTGTCATCTAATTTCCTTTTAGTAGCATCTAGTATATGTTTGTAACATATTGAACCAAACACCTTGAAATGCTTGACACTTTGCTTTCTTCCATTCCATTTCTCAATAGGAATGACTTTCTTTAACTTCTTTATTGGACATCTGTTGAGCACATATACTGAAGTAGCAATTGCTTCACCCATAATTGCTTAGGTAGATTCTTCTCCTTCAACATGCTCTTTGTCATGTCAAGTAGAGTTATATTTCTCCTTTCAACAAGACCATTATGTTGTGGAGTGTATGGATCAATCACCTTGTGCTCAATACTATGTTCCTTATAGAACTTCATGAACTCTGTTGAGTTGAACTCACCTCCACCATCAGTCCAGAGGATATTTAACCTTTGTCCACTTTGATTTTCAGCCTTCACTTTGAACTTATGAAACTTAGCAAACACCTCATGGTTGAACTTAATGAGTGTTACCCATGTCATTCTTATGAACTCATCCACAAATGACACAAAGTGCTTGTTCCCCACCAAATGAAGGTACCTCAAATGGACCACATACATCATAATGCACCACACTCAAAGCATGAGTTGCTCTTTTAGGCATTTCTGATTAGAATGGTAATGTTGGTTGTTTGCCTTTCATGCATATATCACATAATTTCTATGGTGCCACAATCTTAGGAATTCCATGTACCAGATTCTTTGAACTCAAATGCCCTAAGCTTCTGTATTTTAAATGTCCCAATTTCTTGTGTCACATCTCACTTTTCCCTTTAACATTTCTTGCACTAAGACATTGAGTGTCTGTTGTTGATACATTCACTTTGAATGTTATTTTCCTTCCCAGTTCAGGGGTATATATATATGAGAAAACAATAAAGATTTATACTTTTTCTCAAAAAAAATTTCTTTAAAGTCCTTCATTCCCGTAACCTTGTAACTCGAAAACAAAGCCCAAGATTAGGGGCATACATTGAATCGGAAAATTCTAAATCAAATCGGAATTCAAACTAATTCATAGTGTTTGGGTTGAGCATTTTATTAGTTCGAGTAAAAACCAAACCAATAAAATCTGATGTAAATTAGTTCGGACAATGGATTTCCAAAATTCTACCTGCGGACCAGTCTACTCGAACCAATCATAATTTATTCGCATAATTCATATCATCATTATCATATAATCTAGTACAAAGTATTCAACTACAAACTGAAAAGAAAAAAATGAAACATCATTTATGTCGTTCACAACCAATCTGGATAAACAAAAAAAAAAAAAATTAGGCATTTTATATTATTTTAAAAAATTAGTTTACGTAAATTAGTTATTTTAAAAAAATTAGTTGACGTAAATTAGTTATTTTGTAAAATTATTTATTACATTTGTATTTAATGTATTCAATCAATCAAACTCAAATCAACTCTTTATTTTTCGGTTTCGTTTAGATTGAACTTTATTATAAAAATGTATAAATCCAATATAAAACAATCTATATATTTTTTATTTATTTAGAAATCAAATTCTCTTGAAATCAAACTAAACCAACGCGTAACGCTCATACCCAAGCATTAGACTTAAAAGTCTCTTTTTTATAAATTTAATATTGTATCAATTTATTTGTGATATAAAATTTGACCATTTATATTTAAAACCTAACAGTTCGTGACCACAAAAGACCTCAAGAAACATGTATATGCATCTTACCTTATTTTATACTTATTCTAGTTATATTTATAAGAGACAAATTATTTTTTAGATTCATTTAATAATCAATATATCTTTGATCTAATAAAAGATCAAATATATTGATTATTCAATTAATCTAAAAATAACTTGTCTCTTATACATGAGGGAGTATGTTATTTCACATAATGTTGATTACCTTAGTTTTGATTGTTGTTCTACCATTAAGATGTAGTATCTTTGAGAAGCCAGATTCTTGAATAGTAACCACCCTTGACATGCACCTAATGGTTCCACTTGGAAGCTCATTGGCAAGGGCTTCCAATAGTAACTTCCTTCTAACACAACGAACCTCATGAGATGAGGTTCTATTGAATGACAT